CCACCCCCATAAAAACCCCATAGAATCCCATGCATTCCTGCCCACCCCATCAAAACCCCATAGAACTCTATAGACCCTTCCCAGCCCTAAACATCACCCCCCACCCCATAAAAATCCCATAGATCCCCATACATCACCCCCAGCCCATAAAAACCCTATAGATCCCCATACATCTCTCTCACACCATAAAAACCCTATAGAATCCCATACATTCTCCTCCGCCCCATAAAAACCCCATAGAATCGCATGCATCTCCGCTCCCTCCATAAAAACCCCATAGAAGTTTGTAGACCCTTCCCAGCCCCATAGGTGCTCCTCACCCCATAAAAACCCCATAGAATCCCATGCATCCCCGCCCACCCCATAAAAACCCTATAGAATCCCATACATTCTCCTCCGCCCCATAAAAACCCCATAGAATCCTATGCATCCCCGCCCACCCTGTAAAAACCCCATAGAACTCCATAGACCGTTCCCAGCCCCATAGGTGCCCCTCACCCCATAAAAATCCCATAGAACCCCATAGATCCTCCCCAACCCCATAAAAACCCCACAGATCCCCACAGATCCCCCCCACCCCATAAAAACCCCACAGATCCCCACAGATCCTCCCCAGCCCCATAAAAACCCCATAGAACCTTATGGTTCCCCCTGCCCCATAGATTCCCCCAAATTTCCCCCATTTCCCCCAACCGACCCCGCAGAACGGAGCCCCGCAGCGCCATATCGCGACGTACGGGGACGTATCGCGACACGGCGACCCGTCAGAACCTGGAGACTCGTCACGACGTGATGACATATCGCAATACATGGATATATCGCGACATATCGGCTCGATATCGCGACCTCAGGGCTCGTCGGGACAGGAAGAGCCACCAGGACGCGGGAATCTATCACAATACGGGGGTTTATTGCGACACAAGGGCCCGTCGCGACACGAAGACCCATCGGGACGTGCGAATCTATCGCGATATGGGGATATATCGCGATACGAGGACGCGGAGCAGCGGCGGCAGGAGAAGCTGCGGAGAGATGGGATGAGGACGGTGCAGATGGTGCGGGTAAGGACCCCAAAATGACCCCAAAATCGGCCCCAAATGACCCAAAATCGGCTCAAAATGACCCAAAATGGCCGCAAACCCAAAATGGCCTCAAATGACCCCAAAAGGGCCTCAAACAGACCCTAAAACGGATCCTAAATGGACCCTAAATGGCCCCAAAAAGGTCTGAAATAAACCCCAAAACGACCCCAAAATGGCCTCGAATGACCCCGCCCCCTTTTTCTCTGGCCCCGCCCCCTTTTTTCTCTGGCCCCGCCCCCTTTTCCTTGTGGCCCCGCCCTCCAGGAGGCGGAGTCCCAGTCGGTGCCGGTGGAGGCGGTGCTCGGATTGGCTCAGGCCGCCGGGGGCGGGGCCAAAGGGGCGCTGCTTCGAGCCAGGGCGGCGCTGGGGGCGGAGCTGCGCCTTTTGATGACGTCATCGGGGAGCGACGCTTCCGGCCCCGCCCTAAAGGAAGCCGCCGTCGCCTGGATCAGGGCGCGCGGAAGTCCCGCCCTCGCCTTGCAAGGCATGATGGGAGAGAGGAGGAGGAAGGTGGGTGGGGCCTCGAAGGGTGGGTGGGCTCTGATTGGCTGCTGGGCCGGAAGGGGCGGGGTTTACGGCGTCAGAAGGGGGGGTGGGGCTTAAAACGGTGGGATCTGATTGGCTGCAAGGTTAGAAAAAGGTGGGGACTAAGGGGGGTCAGATCTCATTGGCTGATGGGCTGCAAAGGTGAGAGCTGATTGGTTGATGGATCAGAAAGGGTAGTGCCTATGGGGGTGGGACCTGATTGGCTGCGGGGCCGGAAGGGGCGGGGACGGTGGGTTGGCATCTGATTTGGGCTGGAAGACGCACTGGGCATTCTGTGGGTTCTGATTGGCTGCGGGGCCGGAAGGGGCGGTACCTATGGGGGTAGGACCTGAGTGGTTGCTGGGCCGGAAGGGGCGGGGACTTTGGGTTGGCATCTGATTGGGGCTGAAAGGGGCTCTGAGCAGCCAGTGGGATCTGATTGGTTGTTGGGCCGGAAAAGGCGGTTCCTATGGGGGTGCGACCTGATTGGTTGCGGGCCCGGAAGGGGCGGTGCCCATGGGCTGGGATCTGATTGGCTGCGGGTCCCAAGGAGCTGGGGCGGGAATTTGTTTCCCGGAGGGGCCGCGGGTCGGCCTTACTGGTTTCTACTGGTCCATACTGGTTTCTACTGGTTCATACTGGTTCATACTGGTCCGTACTGGTCGCAGCTCCGCACCCTGCTCTCCCTGGGCTTCCCCCGCTCGGAGGCCGAGCCCGCCCTGCATCACGTGGGTTGGTCCCTGCGCCGGGCTTTACCGGAAGTGCAGCGCCGGAAGCTCCACCCCTTCCTGTCCCGCCTTTGGGAGCCGGAAGAGCCGCCGCTGGATTTCGGCTGCGGGGATCAGCAGGTGCGGCTCTGCGCTGCGGCCTACTGGGATCTACTGGGATCTACTGGGACGAACTGGGGCGGCCCTCGGTGCGGCTTTTCCTTGCTGGTTCAGCTGGGAGCGCTGCCGTGGCCACAGCTGGGGCGGTTATGGGGTATTGGGGGTCTCTATAGGGTCACTATGGGATTCCTGTGGGCCTCTATGGGATTCCTGTGGGCCTCTATGGGATTCCTGTGGGGCTCTGTGGGTTCCTATGGGGCCTCGGTGGGTCTCTATGGGTCTCTGGGGGTATCTATGGGTGCTTATGGGGTCTGTGGGTCTCTATGAGTCCCTAAGGGGTTTCTGTGTGTCCCTATGGGGTCCCTATGGGGTCTGTGGGTCCCTATGGGGTCCCTATGGGGTTTGTGGGTCTCTATGAGTCCTTAAGGGGTTTCTGTGTGTCTCCTATGGGGTCCCTATGGGGTTTGTGGGTTTCTATGAGTCCTTAAGGGGTTTCTGTGTGTCCCTATGGGGTCCCTATGGGGTCTGTGGGTCCCTATGGGGTCCCTATGGGGTTTGTGGGTCCCTATGGGGTTTCTGTTTGTTCCTATGGGGTCCCTACAGGGTCTGTGGGTTCCTATGGGGTCCCTCTGGGGTCTGTGGGTCCCTATGGGGTTTCTGTTTGTCCCTATGGGGTCCCTACGGGGTCTGTGGGTCTCTATGGGTCCCTGTGGGGTTTCTATGTGTCCCTATGGGGTTCCCGTGGGTCGCTATGGGGTCCTTATGGGTCTCTGTAGGGCTCTCTGGGTCTCTGTGGGGCTCTATGGGGTTCCTGTGGGTCTTTATGGGGCTCTATGGGTCTTTATAGGGTTTCTATGAGTCCCTATCGAGTCTGCGTGTTCCTACTGGGTCCCTATGGGGTCTGTGGGTCTCTATGGGTCCCTGTGGAGTTCCTTTGGGGTCCCAATGGATCGCTATGGGTCCAGTGGTTCTTTTTGGGTCTCTATGGAGTTCCTATGGGACTCTATGGAGTTCCTATGGGTCTCTGTGGGTCTCTGTGGGGTTCCAGTGGGTCGCTATGGGTCCAGTGACTCCCTGTGGGTCTTTATGGGGTCCCTATGGGGTCCCAACGGATTGCTATGGGTTCAGTGGCTCCCTGTGGGTCCCTATGGGGTTCCTATGGGTCTCAGTAGATTCTTATTGATTCTTATGCTTCCAGTGGGTCCCTATGGGTCCCTATGGGGTCCCAATGGATCGCTATGGGTCTAGGGGCTCCCTGTGGGTCTTTATGGGTTTCCTATGGGTCTCTATGGGGTCCCAATGAATTGCTATGGGTCCAGTGGCTCCCTGTGGGTCCCTATGGGGTCCCTATGGATCATTATGTATCTTTATGGCTTTGGTGGGTTCCCATGGGTTATTATCGGTCTGTATGGATCTTTATAGGGTCTCTGTGGGGTCCCAGTGGATTGCTATGGGTCCAGTGACTCCCTGTGGGTCTTTATGGGGTGCCTATGGGTCCCTATGGGGTCCCAATGAATCGCTATGGGTCCAGTGGCTCCCTGTGGGTCCCTATGGGGTCCCTATGGATCCTTATGCATCTTTATGGCTCCGGTGGGTTCCCATGGGTTGTTATCGGTCTCTATGCGTCTTTATAGGGTCCCTGTGGGGTCCCTGTGGTTCCCTATGGCCCTGCAATGATTCCTACGGGGTTTTTGCTGCTTCTTCCCCCAGGCTCTGGCCCGCAGGGCTCTGGCCACGCTGTCCCTGCCCAGCTGGGGCCGCGCCACGCTGTTTGTGGCCATGGGCAGGGAATTGGGGCTGAGCCCCGGCTCGGCCGCGGCGCCGGGTTTGAAGGCGCTGCTGGAAGCCGTGCGGAGCTGCGCAGACCGGGCCCAGATCCGACGGCGCCTGCGCTGCGACTGCGCCGTGTGCGGATGGGCGCTGCCCAGGGAGCAGGTGGGGGCGGCACGGGGCTACGGGGGGTGCTGTGGGGCTGGGAGGGGTGGATGTGGGGCTGGGAGGATGGTATGGGGGTTGGTATGGG